ACGTGTCATCCTGCGAGAGCAGTCAGTGCCAGAGCCCGTATTGCAAACCCTGTTAGTGGAGGTTGAAGGCATTCTGAATTCCAAGCCACTCGGCTACATATCCTCCGATGTCACAGACTTGGACCCAGTGACTCCCACAACCTACTCCTCATGGGTCTACGTGATGCCTCCCTACCTCAAGTTCTATATGACTCTAACAACTTACTCGGAAGATGCAAATGGAGACATAGCCAAGTGTTGGCTGATAATTTCTGGACTGCCTTCATCCGTCATTATCTCACAAGTCTACAGGATCGTCCTAAGTGGAAGGATGGCAAGGTACTTACCGTGGGCCAAGTAGGAGGCACTGGGACTGGCAATGACCGATATCTAAGGGAGTGAAAGTGACAAGAAAAGCAAAGACAGAAAGAAACACACAGCACTGCACATATACACAACATCTGGCCAGAGGAGAATGGTGGAGTTTTCCTTCGACACACTATTTTCCTGTTTAATACTGTAAAGCTGCTTTGACACAATATTGTATTGGAAAAAGTGCTATATAACTAAAGTTAACTTGACTTGACTTGACTACCCCACCTCTGCAAATAGCTATTCATAAGAAGAGTTCATTTGTAAAAACAGATAACTGTTTTTTTTCATTGTGCATTCCAATTAATCTCAATCAAACTGCAGTTGGGTTATTTTGATTAAGTAAAAAATAAATAAAAAAATACAACTAACTAACACAAAGCACAATAAAAACATGATAACAATAAAAAACATGATTTTGAAAATTAAATGTTTTTTTAAAGAGTTATCTGTTTTTGCAAATAAACTCTTCATATACAGTGTGAACTAGTGAAACAGCATTAATTACAACATTGCATTACCCTTTAGAAAACAGATCCATAAGTGTGATAATGAAGAAACTGTAAATCTGGACACAGTTTTCAGTCCAACAAAAAAGTTTAATAATTAGGATGCAGTTTTTACTGCAGTTTTTTAGGCTGTGATCCTGCTTCTTTGTAACTTATAATCTTGGATTGTTTGTCTGAGACTGACATTGAGTAAACATTAAATTATCAGTGTTCTCTATTCTAGTCCAGGAGAGTCACTTTCCCACAGAGTTTAGTTTGATCTTTAATGAAAGAAACCTGAATCAACGAGCCAAGGTCTTTGTATTTACTTTAATAACAACTAGGTGTGTCGAGTAGGAATGAGGAACCTGCATTACATAATCGCAGAAAACCCGTTTTACACACGTCACTCAAACACAGAAGCAGGAAACAGGAATCACCTGAGTTCAGAGAAAAAGAAACTGAAGTGCAGTTGAGCTGTTGTGTGTTTGTGTCTCTGTATTCATGCAGTAAAA